AGGCTATAGCGGTGAACGCCCACCGGGTGAGAATAGCCAAAAGACTCGCCTGCGCTATTCTCACCCGGGGTGAGAATAGAGGTGGCCTTTCCTTAAAGGAAGTGGCTAATCTCTGGCGTCACGCCGGTCAATAGATCGGAAGCTAAGCTATTCTCCGGCGTCATAACTAGGCCTAGTAAGTCTACCTTTCATTATATTTTATCTATGGTAATTGTCTAACATAACTTTATTCATTTATTTCCATCGTCCATTTGCTTGTTTTAAAATAATAATAATAATTCTGTTTATTTAAACGAACAAAATTGATTTTGTGTCTGAAATCCTGTCTAGTCATATAGCATTGCTTGCTGTTTAACTTATTTTTTGTTCTTGTAATTTTCGAACAATTTAACTGATATGTTGCGACTTCAGAGCTTTCTTGTCGTATCTCCATTTTTGTAAACAGTGAAAATGTGACTCCTTCTTATGCTCACTCTTTTTTATGACATGTCTTGTCTTTTTTTCAGAATTAAAAAAAATGAATAAAAGAGACAGCCTCAATCAGCTTCTTTGGAGAAATAGTTCCGAATTTTAGAGCAACGTTTTTGGGGGGTTTGTAAATTAATTGATATAGTCATGGGGATTAATGAAAAAAATGACAGCAAATTGAAATGCGTGCGGTCTCAAGACTTTGAAGATATGAAAGAAATTTAACACATTGTATGTTACAGTTACTCAATCTAAATAAACACACCGTCACTCACTAACCGCTGGACTGACAACAACTCCGTCCTGCGGCACGCAGTCAGTTCCAAAAAAAAAGAAGTTAAACAAACAAAAAGACTACCACTCACTTATCGTTCTTCTTCTAGTCAAAGAGTTCTCCCAGACTGTAATTAAATACTAATGATTATATTATAGAAGAAAACACCTCTATATATTTGTTGCATATGCACAAAAATGGAGATGTTTTAGGTCTTTTGGAATTCAGAGGCTCATGCAAAAAATCAGAGCTATTTACCTCTTAAATTCTGTGTAATGAGGTTGACAAGTTGTCCATTTGGTGTTGCCCTGACTATAACTCTTTTCATTTGTCTTTTCTATATTTTGTCAGTTTTTCAAGCTGAATGCACCTGTGACAAAATCATAGGAGGAGCCATTTTTGCCTTAGTGTCGCAGTATCTCATGACTTATATATACTTATACCAAATTGTAATATATGATGTTTGCCGTAGTCTAGCATCCATCAATATGTTTTTGTGATAAATGTAAGTTTTATTTATCCACAAGAAACTGTTTATTATGTTGCAGTGCCATTGAGACATTTGTTTAACATTTGCAGACATCTTAAAGATTTTTTTTTCTCTTTTAGGATACTATGGATGGTTCCCATATACGCAATGAATGCTGTGAGTTATATATTTCTATTTCATTTCTATTGTTTTGTATGTTTGTGCACATGTTGAAATGATATCTTGTGACTTAAAATGAAGTTATGTTGTTCTCTTTGAAAGTACTGGTATGGATAGTTTTCAGCTGATTTTGTTCTTGTTAAAAAAGGCACAGATGGACTTAAAAAATTGAGACACAGGGTCTTTTTCTTCCCAATACTTGTCAGTCCTCAGGTTGTCTTAGACCTGCCATACTTGAGTGTGAGTCCTCACAATATTAAAGCCTCACGGCTTCCCACCACCTTTTGGTCATCATGCTGATATCTGGCGTTAATGCCAGATATACTTTGTTGGCAGGCCGAGGTGGTACGGTTGCTTTGAAGTTTCTCCAGGCGACTTTAAAATTTAATTCCAATTTTTGAAAGAATTTTGGTAAATGTCTAAAAATAATTTCATAGCTTTTTCAGAATCTGTGCAAATCAGAAGCCAAATTGCCGACAAGTGCTAGATATTGGCCGAGCTCATAGAGAAGTGTTTGGGAAAGCGATTATCGAGCTTTCATACAGTGGGTTCCATATGTAATGTTTACCTGTGGGGGTCAATTCATTGGTAGAATAACCAGGCAAATTTACATTAGTTAGTTTAATAAGGACCGTACAACTAGACGGTTGACAGATGGCAGTGTAAATGTGCAAATACTATATAAATATGTATATATAAAAGTGTTCTTTTTCGTACATCAGCAAAACCTGACGTTAAGCGGGGCTAGCAGTATAACCGGGGGAGGGGGGGGGGATACAAAGCGGTTTGACTTTAGTTTGTAAAATGCGTAGGACTTGCTGTTTAGTGGGGATATGGGCTATACAAATGCTGTTTATTAATCATTATTCTTCTGTACTTTTAACCTATCTAAGTGTGACATTTTATATTTTTTACTGTCATCTCATGATTTGCTTCCAAAAAGAATGACTTAGGAATATTAAATTGCCAAAGGCCCTTTTAAACTTTTTGCGAAAATAATAGATCTAATAATAATATTAATAAATAGCATTTATGCCGTGCATTTCCATTTTCTAAAAAATGGTCAATGGGCTTTACAATATAAAAAAATAAGAGGCTGAAGAAGAAAAATATTATAATTATTATTCTGCTGGGATGAGAAATCTTAAACTGGCTCACTCTTCTGTTAAAATGATAATATCATAGATGAAAGCTTGATTTTGTCAGTGCATGGGGTAATTTGTTTGTGACTTGATCTCAAATGAAACTCTTAAGTCGAAGCATGGTTGTTATAGAGCTCAACCTTATAATACCTAATTCAATTTTCAGTGGTTTGCTTTGAGATTCCCTGCAGCAGCCATCTACCTGGATACATTACGAGAGTGCTACGAAGCTTATGTGATCTACAACTTTATGGCGTACCTCATGTCTTTCCTCAATCATGAGTACCCCCACTTGGACATACAGGTGAAGAGATTTAGGTTTCTGTACTGAACACCGTGAAAAGTTTCAGTGACCTTAACCGCAACAGAAGATACAATCTGAAGAGATAAATACAGTATAATACGGATAGGGCGAACACAGAAGACTCAAAATCACACATCTGTCAAACTGTACCTGCGGTCCCGGGTTTTTTTTTTCTTCTTTATCTTTGTAAGATATCCCTCGAACTTCTGTTACCTTGAACTACTGAGGCCGGTCCCGACGAATTCGAGCTATCCGTGTTATACTGTATGTTGAAACTTGATGCCGTGGAAGTTTGGTGTCATAGTAGAAATAATGTATAGCTTGTTCACTTTCATCACTTTAGGTTAAGAAAATTCGAGCTCATTTATTAATTTGCCAATGCGCACATTACTTTGCATGGCTTTCCTGTAGGCCAGCAAACAAACAAAGATATTTTAAAACAAAAATCTTGGTCCAGTAATAAAAAAGTTTCTATTTTTTTTATTTGGGTCCTATATTAAACCCCAACGTTTAGGTGCACACATTAGGTCACTACTATAAATAATTTACAGTAACCTAGCCTACAAATTTCTCATTATGAGACCGCATTACCACCCTGTCCCCATAGAGTCTTGAATTTGAAAAGTTCAATCCCGTCTGTTGGAAAACTTTTCTTACGCCTGTGTTAAGCGTTGTGTTGATAAAAATGGGTCTACATTTGGATGTTTTAAATGTAGCCTATGCTGTAGAGCTTCATTTCTTTATTTTTTGACCAGCTGTAGGCAAGGATCAAAGAAAACGTGTCGGAACCTTAGTTTGCAGTGACATTCAGTAATGGCGGTTTAGATTCTGCTGGTCATTTAACTTTAAGACCCGCGTACAAAAACGGGTGAATATTAAATAGAGTGGTTTGTTTTTATTTTGTTTTAATTGCAGACAGACGAAAGTGAACAAACTGTAGCTTATTTGAAAGGCATATGTATGGGGTAGGGAGAAAAGAGAAAAAATGGGGAGACGAATTGTAAAGAATGCTGCAGTGTAAACAGGGCAAAGTGAAATTTTTTTCGATCAGATTAACTTAAGTTCTTTTATTTCTTATCCATTCCTTGTATTTTTTATTTCTTATCCCTTCCATGTATTTTATGTTTCCCATCCCCAGGTGGAAAACAAGCCTCCGGTGAAGCATGTGTTCCCTCTTTGTTGCCTTCCTCCTTGCCACAACTCTCCGTAAGCTTATGCTTTGTTTTGTACTTAAAGTGTTAGTGTTTTATACCACTTGAGGCACAATTAGATCTTATAAGAGCTTAAGATTAGAGGTGTTACAAGTGAGTAACAAACAAAAAAGATGGAGGAGAGATAAAGACTCGCAACCTTGTGTACATTCACATTCATCACGAAAGTTATGTAGAGATAAAGATGTCTTTGTATTTGAAATCACCCCCAGCAAAAACTTTTCTATAATCATTTTCTATAAGTATGCCAAAGAGTAGTCACTTTGAAGACAAACTTAAAAATTACATTTCCATACTCATTCCTTGTGTAATGCATCTGAATTTTTGCACAGTACCTTTCTAAACATAACTGAACCTGCTCGGACTGCTGATGTAAGATTCTACTTCCCATTTAAACGTGGGTGTGTGCAATCCACTACTTACACTGTATGCTTCCCGGGAAACTGAGAATGTTTCTGAGTGTTCTAGGGTCTGCTAGGGTAATATTGATTGTAAAGCATATAGAGCATGCTGTAAAGCGTGGATATGCACGCTATATAAATTACACTACTACTACTATTACTATTATTATTATTATTATTATTATTATTATTATTATTATTATTATTGCTACACTAGACTATAGAAGGATAGCTAAAAGTTGTGTGGGCCTTGTCTTCAGCTGAAGATAGAAAGGATTCATGTAATGCCTGACACCAAACAAATTTTAAGTTTGCTGTCTGATCCAAGATATTTTTTAATACTGAAACTAAATGTGATTGTGTCAAATTTCTATTTCTGATAATAATCTCAAATTTTAGAGGTCGCAGCACCTGTTTCATAGCTGCTGTTAGTGTTTTGTACTTCACATTTTGTTGCTTTTTATCTCACATTTTTATTTTTATGTTTGTAATGTCTCCTTGGAGGTCACTTGTAATTCCCATTGTTATTCTCAGGAAATTCATCCAGAGGTGTAAACATGGCGTCCTCCAGTATACTGTGGTGCGTCCTGCCATGACTGTGATAGCTCTGTAAGTTGATCATGTTTTTCCTTTTAACTTCTATAATTTCTGTCCGTTGATAAAATTATGTTGGTTTTTTTTTAAAGTTAATTTTATTTGCTAAATAATTTCTTTGAATTCTTTAGGGGCCAAGACATTTTTAAAATAGTGTTTGGCTGTGATGTTATACTGGTTAATGTGTTGTCAATTTCAGTGCCAGGGACTTTTTCTGAAGTCTCAATATATGATTGTTGCAAGATATCATTTGGGGTGGAGTACGTCTTCTGTCTTATGTCTTCCAGGATTTGTTTTATGCCTTTGTTTTGTCTGTGATTTCCATTTAAATGGGAAGTAGAATCTTACAGTCAGAGCAGAGTCAGTTATATTTTAGAAAGGTACTGTGCCAAAATTCAGATGCAATACTCTTGGAATGAATATGGAAGTGTAATTTTTAAGTTTGAGACTTGGCTTCAAAGTGACTGCTCTTTGGCATACTCATTTTAATAGATTGTTGGAAAGTTTTTGCTGAGGGTGATGTCTAATACAGAAGCGTCTTTATCTCTACCCATTTTCATGGTGGACGTAACCAAGGTTGTTAATTGAATGGTGTCGATTCAAATTATGAAAATCTTGAACACCTGGAGTATGATTTGTCCCATGGCAGAAATCTTAGAATTAAGCTCTAAAACAAATATAAAGTTATAGGCCCTTGAACTTTTTCTCGTAGTAAGACACTTTTTTCTCTGTTTTAGAATCTGCGAGATGTTTGGCAAATATGAAGAGGGCGAACTGAACTTTACCAATGGGTGGTCTTACATTGCCGTCATCAACAATATGTCACAGATTGTAAGTTGACTTATTGGTATTGTAGTCGTGTTAGTGTTTTGACTGACAGGTAGTCAGTAATTAGATAGAATGTATAACAATAGTCATGGGGGGGGGTATGCTGTTTTTGGATTTGTTGGAAATTGTTGTCGAAAAACTGGCAATATTTATTGACTAAAATTTTGTAATGTCTTCTTTTTTAAAACCTCAATTTTTCATCAAGAGTGGTTGGAGGGTGCTGTGGGTAGAACCAGTTTCTTTGCTTTCCCCATGTTGGCTCTGTCTTGGTCTGTCCTAGCTCTTGTTCACCATTATTGTGTGAATGTGCTTCTCTTTACTCAAACAAACAAAAATCTCAGTTTGCATGTGTGTATGAGATAATCATATTATATTGAGCTCTAATTGGCTGTGAATGGCTAATATACAAGTAAGCTTCTTTGTTTTATGTAGCTGGGTCAGTAAATTGCTATAAAACTATTAATTGTGGTGCGGCTAAGAAAGAAACTGACATATTGTCAAGTCACTACGAAAAGGAGTAACTCCCATATTTTTAAACATCTTGCAAAGCCGGGTCAGAGTTTCTGGGTTTTTTTTAAGGCATTAGAGATGTGTAACTAAAGCTTCTCATACAAGCCCAGTTTACATTTTGAGTGATTTCCTTCCTCAGCTCGCAATGTACTGCCTTATATTATTTTACAAAGCTTTCAAAGAAGAGCTTCAGCCATTGAAACCAGTACCAAAGTTCTTGTGTGTGAAAGCTGTGGTCTTCCTGTCATTTTGGTAAGTTAAAAGAAAATCTTATAGAAGAATTTGCATGGTGAGCATGTAATTATTTTTATTGTTATGTTTTTGCTGTAAAGTAACACCTTCAGCTTATGGTTGTTTTTGTTGTTCACATTGTAAAATACAGTGGAACTCGGATTCAACGAGGTCGCCGGGCCTGACCTAAAATCTCGTTGAATCCGAGTGCTCGTTATAGCAAATACAGTGGAAACCTGATACAGCAGGGATGGTGGGAGTAGAGAAAATGTCATGTTATATCCGATCCCTGTTAAATCAGAAATGCAAGGAAAATAAGCATTTGTGGACTAATCCAGCTGTACTTATTTATGGGTAGTTGCCCTTGCCACAAGTACCCACGAACAGGGGTTTTGGCACCAATTTTCTCCTTGCCTCCTTAATCCACATCAGAAGAGCTTGGTCCACAGAATCTGCATTGGGTAGTCTCATCTTCTTTCGATCCCGAGCGAACTTTCCATTGGAGTACGCTTCAACTATTTTCTCTCTATCCTTGATAATGGTGTGAATCGACCCTTGTGGAATGTCGAACTGACAGCAAATCTCTGCCAGTCAAGCTTGCTTTTTGTCAACAGCCTGGATTATTTCGTATTTTTTGTCAATTGAAAAGCATTTTCTCTAGCGCTTGACATTGTTGGTGACACATTACGCCACGCGCGCGTGTTGCTAGGTTTCGGGCTAGATCGAGGTCTGCAGCACACCGCAGCCCTCTCTCGCTTCACACGCTGCGTGTCCTTGCAGTGGCATGGTTTGCGTGGGCTTGCTCCATCGCTGCGTTACTCTTTCTCTCTTTTTACAAATTGTTTACGAGCCTTTGTCCCTGCTATAACCGGTTGGGCTCCGATGAGGCCCTGTTATTGTCGATAACTTTTAATAGAGACAAAGAGTAGGAAAAAACGGGGATTTAAAAAATCCCTGTTATTACCGGATCCCTGTTATTACCGGGCCTGTTATATATGGTTTCCACTGTATGAGGTTTTGTGTAGATAATTACAGGCACTGAGCAAGTAATGTGTAAAGAGAAGTAACATGTAGTGACTGAAATGTCTGCATATTATGATCTGTGTAATAAAAAGGCCGATTCGCTCAAATGTTTATCTGTGTCATCTCAATTTGTTTGCTAAAAAGTTGTGTTGCTGTGTAGAGCCTAGCATACGGCAACTTTTGATTCCATAGACCAGCGCACAATTCATTACGAAGATCTATGTCAAGACTAGCTTATCATTGTAATAATGATCAGTTGCCGAGGGGGAAAAAAAGACTGTGACGCGTTTGTATCTGCGACGTTCAATGCCCGGACTGCTAGTGCCCCCTCTCTCCTCGACACGCACACGCTAGAGTAGACACTTGCCCATGCCAACAACGCATGTGTTGGTATGGAAAAAGGCCGCTGATTGGTCGCATGCAATCGGCTAAGTAAATAATAGTACACGATGCAGGTGCAATGGAAGGTTTCCGTGAATAGATAAAGTTCGTTCTGGGAGAAAAATGAGCGAAGCCACGTCTGCGGGGCTGTTCATCCTGGAAATGACCTCGTTGAATCCGAGCTCGCTGATTTAAATGCTCGTTGAATCCGGGTTATTTTTATTGATTTAAAGAAGAAAAAAAACGGGGAATCTATCTCTTCTCGTTGAATCCGAGTTCTCGTTGAATCCGAGCTCGTTGAATCCGAGTTCCACTGTACAAGTCTCTTATTGAGTTTTTGGTTGTTGTTGGTTCTTTTTTTTATGGATTGGTTGATAATCATGAGGTAGAGGAATCTTAGACCAGTGTCCATAATTACAAAACAGTTCACCAAAATTTTTAATAAATGATTAGAAATCTTAAATGTTCAAATTGTGTTGATGAGGGCGAAGAACATTTTCAACAATATCTTAGTAAAGTCTGAAATGAACTGCACTTATAATGTATTTCAGGCAGGCCTTGTTGACCAGTGAACTGACGACATAATCTATACATGGAATGTAACGAATTGTACACCAATTACATTTCAGGCAGGCCTTGTTGATTGCTATACTGACCGAAACTGGAGCTATACCTAAGAATGGCACGTGGGTCTTCTATAAAGATGAGAAAGAAGTCTCCACAGGTCTACAGGTAATTTGACATTGGAGAATGTTTGCAGATTTATCCCAATGGTAAAATGCATGATGAATGTATTGAGGTACAGTCATGCATGGTGCATATTTTGAGGTAGTCAAACTTGTTTAAGACGCCCACCCATTTTTTAGGAGAAAAGTGGTTGCCTTAGACCAGGTGTAGTAGTCTTAAACAGTTTTAATATTATTTTTGTGTTAAAAAAACGCAAGACGGAAATGGGAAGTGGCCATTTGTACCGGTGATTGTCTTATACAAATGGACGTTAGAGCAGGTTCGATTGTATTTGAAAATACAGTAGACCTTGTTTAACACAAAGCCGTTAAACAGGAGTCTTGTAACCACAAAAGGATTTTAAATCTTTGATATTTTCTCCCTCTTTATTCTATACATTGCAACTTCCTGCAACACAAAGTCTGCTTAACACGAAGAAATTGTCAGGTGGTGCTATAGGTTTTTAAAAATTGTATTTTGTCAACTGAAACAAAAGACAAACAGTACCTTAAAACATCTGAGAGGTAAAGGTTTATGTTGAACTTAGGCGTATAGAAATTAAATACATCTTTAAAATGTAATGTCAGTAGGTCCTCCATTAATTTGAAGTTAACCCCTTGGTTGCCTTATGACGTACCTGGTACATCATGAAAGTGCTTAATTATTAGCGCTGTGCCGTACCGTGTACGTCATGGAAATTGGCAAAATTTGCTGCTCCTGGTTGCCTTTATGACGGTACATGTACATCACACTAATAATTAAGCTGGCTCTAATTCTTCTGTACGGAATTTACCCCGCTAAGGCTGCATATATTGGTATTCAGGAATAACAGATATGCATATCGGTACCAAATCTGTTATTATTTTTTTACTGCTGGGCTTGCAAGCGATCGATAAAGTTAAATGTAGGCTTGCGGACGGCCTCATGCTCTCGTAAAACGTAAACATCGAAATGGCTGTAAAAAGGCAAATAAATTCTTTATTTTTACCTAGATTTGCGGGTTATTCAAAATTATGAGTAAGATTGGAGGAAATGGGTACAAGAAAAGTGAAAAAAGTGACAATCGAAGCCCTGGTGTCGGAAATATGTCACGAGTGCGCTAGATCTAGACCTCACGTCCATTGATACTGAAACATTAGGCTGCCGTCCTGGGTAACGAGCTCAGCTGAAAATCAGCGCTGACAGTGGGAACGTATACCCCCTGGCAACGAAAGGGTTGATTGGATGGGTCTGTTGTAGCTCCTCCTTTTTTTTTATACCATTACATTTGCAGGTTTCCATTTGTCAATATTCTTACTTCTCAACTTTAAGGGCCATTATTGTAATCAATGTATTTATTTTAGATGAAAGTGCAACTTTACTTTCTTTTCTGCTGTTTCAGGATTTTCTCATTTGCATAGAAATGTTTCTGGCTGCGGTAGCACACTATTTTTCATTCTCACACAAACCATTTGTGAATCTGGCGGCGGAGCAACAAGACTGTCTAAGGTCGTTCCTCTCCATGTGGGACGTACGAGATGTTACGGAAGATGTGGTGGAGCACGCTAGATACATAGGTATGTCAGTAACATATCTTATTACCAACACTTTGTTTTCTTGTATCTGTTTACTTTCTCCGCCGACAGTGGTCACCCATTTGCTCAACTTTCTGTTCACCAGGCAGTCTTTCTATTTACATTCTACTGCATTTTAATTTTACCGTAAATTCTGACTGCTGGTGCCAGCTAAAACTTAATGTCAACATAGCTGCCACTTTCCCGCTAAATAGCGGAAACTCCGCTTCATCTAGCTTTTCCCACTACTTTCCTCCTTCCTCCGCTGGACCGCACTCGGTCGCAAATTGCGATACTTTTTTACACGCGGAAAACACCGAACCGGGAGAGAGACGAAAACGCAGCTTGCGCATGTCCGCCCGCAGCTTTCTACTTCCGATCTTCTAAGCCTAGCGCTAGTTTCACTTTGTTTATTGTGGAGCAACACAGTGTCGATCGGACATCGGGAAGTTAGCACGCCGAGTTGTCATTGAAAACGGCGTAAATTCGAGAGAAATTGATGCAGAATGTAAAAATAAAAGGAGCCCCGCTTGCTGCACTTTGCGTGCGATAAAGAAATCGCGGCCCGCGGCACTCCTGCACAATTGCGGTCCCGTTTGTTTACATGACGGCTATTGTGGCTGTTGAAGTGAATCTAGATCTATCTCTAGATATAATCTAGATTTACACATATTTAGATATCTAGATTCTAGATCTAGATTAGATAGCCTAGGCTATAATTTTAATTCAGATTAGATCTACACTCTTCAGAAGGACTAGTAAGTTAAGTGCAAACGGGACCGCAATTGTACAGGAGTGCTCAGTACAGCGGCAAAGGTGTTGCCTCCTTGATCCAATACTGCGCGCGCTCTACATCGATGTACACGTTTAAAGTGAAAGAAATCTTTTTATAAGACACCAGCTTGCAACGAACGCTGGATTTTTAGTCACCAAGTCCAAACTGTGTCAAATTGACTCAACAAATGCTTGTTAGTCTACTTAGTGCCTTTGGTTGTTTTTTTTTGTTTTTTTTGTTTTTTTTTCAAATACATTTTAATTCAGTTGCCTATGGTTAACAAATATGACAGTTTTCCCTTCCAAAACCATAGGCTAGATTTTCCAGTATATATTGCCTCTGGATCTCACTGGTTTTACTCCGGCCTTCGGAGAGCGCGCGTCCGCCTTCGCATGAATTTCCTCCTTTTTTGAAATTCCTGAGTGGCAGCTATGTGTCAAGTGATCTCTTTTTATCAAAACTAAGCTGACTACTGAAGTCTTGGAGAAGAAACAAGGAGAGTGTCAGGCGGTTTCATTTCAGCCAGGTTGAGCATTTTTCTCAGCCAGTGTTAGACAGATGAAACATGAAAGCGTTAAGTGAATCTACCGAGGACATGCACAGTGCATTTATCTATGTAACTGCAAATTGTTGCATTGTACTTTTGGATCAAACGACTTTCCAAGGATTTCTTTTATGTTTCAGCTGTTTCTTTACCCATTCAAGTATGATACTTATGTCAATTAATTCATAGTGGAGTGTCATCAAATGTATTTAGTTTTAATTTTGGTAATATTTAGATTTGGCATACTCTCATTTAAGTGAGAATTTTTTCTATTACAATATTCATTCATATAAAACAGCTTCCATTTTTGTTTATGTTGATATCGAGGGTGAGACATGCCTTTCTGTTTTCTTTCTGGACAAGCTAATAACAAGTTGTTGTTGCCTATCTACTTTATGTTGTTGGTGATATTATGTGATTTTTGTAAGGGTTCTTTATTTTACTAGGAAAGCTTAACTCATGAATTAATCCTCTTTGCTGGAGCCCAGTATTGGTATTAAACCTGAGACTGACATACATGTCTCTAAATTGGAAATGAAATCAAAACAGGTAAACCTATTTTGATAGTTCTTCATCTAATGACAGAACTCCTGGTGGGAGAGAGCTATTTGCTGAAAATTAATACAGTAGTCTCTGCCTAAGACCCCACCGCTTACGATCCCGGTTCACTTAAGATCCCGCTGTTGTAAGAAAACAGAATTTTTACTATGCAGAAGTCACCCCTAAGATCCCGCTCTGATTCACTCTGAAGGTCTACATTCGGCTAAGATCCCGCATTTCAGATCATAATTTGCGGAACAAAAACCCGGGCGGGCACAGCCAATCAAGCAAGAGTGAAAAGTTTAGATCAATAAACTGTCCGTCTCGTCAAAGATCAGCCACTATCATGAATTTGATCACATACACGTTGTAAAACTGGATGAAGCGATACAATGTTTGCCCCTGACGAGATCACACCGGGGTATGAACTGTCCGACGCATTTGTTTTCCCCTGGCATCGCACTCACACCTGAGCTCTCCCTCTAAACTTACATCACTCGCTGGGTGGGTAGGGCCTACACGTTCGTTCCAGGTGGGATCACATCGAACTGTGAACTCTTCCCCTATCATTGCAGAAGTTGTCTCTACTCCTGAATTTGTGAGACAGACTGAATTTTAATTGGTGTGTTCACAACGTAATGGTGTGTAACGACAAAGGCTGTTGGGGGGGGGGGGGAGTACTCGGTCAGAGATGGAAAGCTATAAATTTTCGACAGGTAAGGGGGAGGGGCAACTGGATACGCGTAGATCATGAGACTCATGATAGGATAAGTGAAAATGGCACGCCTCATCCCACTATACACTGTGATAGTTCACCAAGGTTAACCACTCTTTGCTCGCATACATCATAAACCCACCAAGCGGTCATGTCAGTTCATTTTAGAGTGGAGGGAGACCATTGTACCTATTGTGAGCCTTAGCATGGGTCACCATAGATTCTCCCCTGGGTTCGTCGGTTAAGATCCCGGTTCACCTAAGATCCCGCATTTCCTTGCTCCCGAGCACCGGGATCTTAGGCGGAGACTACTGTATAATATTATCGTCGTTGTATAGAATTTGACTAAGTGGCTGACAGCAGATTGCTGGCACTGTGGTTCCAACCGTAAGTTGCCTGGCGATAAGTAGTTAAAATAAATGTTTTACAAAAGGTCTGGGAATATTTGAATTCCTTTGAATTATAACAATATGCAGTTTATATGTCTTTCATTTGCGGTTAAATATACTGTAGGCGAACAACTTCAATTTTTCATCAAACAGTCAAATGAAATGTCTGAAATTTGTGTGATAATTTGCAGGACGGGGCATGCATAAAACTCTGAGTCGAGGTAAGAGGATGGGAGATGCATCTGATGGTGAGCGAACTCCTCTGCTCATCAATGGAGAAGGACCTCCGTCAGCATCAGGATCCAGCCTAGACAGGCAAGTGTCGGTACAGAACCAGCAGATGAAGCTGCCACCATCACCAGCTGTCATTCTGGACACCGACGGGACGTCTATCGGCGGAGACAGCCTGACTGCCTCTGGGCGTCACTTTGACAGTTTTGTCAACAAATCCACCACCTCCAGCATGAATAACTACGCAGATTTTGAAACCAGCGGTGAGTTGTTTGGCCCTGCCAGCGACAACAAAAGTTTGTCCAGCTCGATCAGTCTCCAAGCTTACGACAGTGCAAATGAGGATGGTGGTGTGGAGAGTAGAGCTCATGTTATTGCTTCGACTGTGAATGCTAATCAGACTGGTGCTTCAGCCCTTGATGAAAAGGATTTTCGTTTCATGTCTTCGGAGTCCTCGGTTGAAAAAAGGGATCAGGATGATGTGTTTGAGCATCTCGATGTGACAGAAGAAGATAGTGGAGGAGCGCAAAGGAATAGTGATGCTGACGAAAAGTTTAGCAAGGGCGATGGAGGCATCTCATTATTTACAGGGGATGGTGGAGCTGGAGAGAGAGGACATGTGGGAGAGGGGGAAGATTCAGGGAAGCCTATCGTAAGCCCTGACCCAGAAAGCGAGGTCCCAGACATGGTAGATTCAAACGTGCAGCTCAAGGAAAGGACTGACCAGTCTCTTGTAGCTGGTAATACCCACACTGGAATTGATGGCGCTCCTGTAGCATGATTGTGCAGTATTATGAATGTGTTGCTTGCTCTGATGTCATCTTTGTCAAATGTTATCTTGAGGGGGGGGGGGGGTGCATATCGTGGACCATATCCACAATCCACTAAGATGTTTGAACCAATGATGTAATCAGCCATAAATCTACTCAACTTCATATTGGGCTGTAGCCTCCTCCTTTTTTGTGTTTGTTACTCTCTTGTAGCACCTTTAATCTTCTGCTTTCATATGACCACATTGTGTAAAAGTGTTGTAATACTTTTACCCAACAAAATAATGGAGATTTACCAGAATTTGACTAATCTCATTCAAGAAAATGCTCATTATTGCTTATTTACTGCAACACTTTTGCTGGCAAAATATTGGGAACAAAATTTCTCAATGCTCTCTCTCTTTGACTTTGACTGAAACAATGACTCACTACACTTGGAATAGTTTTAGGCATATATGTCAAGACGTGGTGGAATCAAGCACTCATCAGTATTTGCACAGGTGGAGTTATTGGTATCATCTTAAAGCCTATTCATTTGTTTACCTTTTGATGAAAAAAATACCCATCTGTCTTGAAAAGAAGTTGAGATATTTGCAATCGAATCAGATGGGAGTCACCTGGTTTCAGCAGTAAAATTACCAAGAAAATGGCTGCCAAAGTTTGGTGACTTCCAATGGTTGAGATTCCTTGGAAACTGAAAATTTACATTTTTTGTTGTTTTAATCAAATGGACGTAAAAGGTATTGAGCCAAAAAAGGAAAACTCGAAAAAAATGGTCAGGCACACAGAAAAATGGCGGTTTCTTTGATTTTCTTATTTTGACGAGTGCCTGATTTCACCACAATGCCTCACATAATGTACTTTGATAATCCTGGCAGGCCCAGATGATTTCTAAACAAAGTATAAAATGGATGCTAGTTTAAGATTATTTTGGTTTTTTGCCAGAAGTGTAGCACTTATTTTTGATCTACCACCTTGTCTTTAGAAGACTTTTTATCAAAGGCTGAATTGGCTGAAGATTGTTAACAGTCATAATATCTGTAACGATCTAAAGAACTTTGTGTAGGCTTTTTCAGTGCCTCGGCACAAGTTATAGAGATGGTGTCTTCGTGTAGAAAAAAGATGGAATATTGTTATTATTTTGTCTACTTATCAAGTCACTGGGCCGTTGGATATTTATTACCAAGAAATAACAAGAATAATAAGAGGCAATCTATGGAGACCGAAAAGGGGGGCTCTCGTTGCTGCTCTAAGATTGTCTCCTTTCACCTCCTTTCCTGCTCTTTAGCAATGTTCTGTCGTCTGCTTTCGTCTCCACTCTCTGCCCCCACCCCTTCACCTCCTTTGCCTACACCTCTGGGCTCCTGACTTTTTCTGCAGCCTTTCTACTACTACTCTTTGGTATCTTCTTACTGCTGTCTTTCAGCCACTCCCCTGATCTTCTGGTAGGAAAGATCTACACCTAGCCTTCTCAGACAAGGGCGGAAAATATCGGAGGTCACATGTACAAGTTGTGCACGTCAAAGTTCTCTTAGTGGTCTAAAATCGATAAGAGTACGCTGTGGCAGCTACTCGGGTAAAATTGAAAATTTCCTACCTACTGAAAATGTTTAATGTGTCCCTCGCGCTAGTATGACCTTGCAGTTGCAAGCGCCGTAAAACACTTGCCCAAAAAAAGACCAAAAGGCAGAACATTTGATTTGTGGAAATTTTATCGTTAAATTTAACTGTACAACTTTTGAGAAGAGTCACTTGGCCCTAACAAGGAATATTAATTTTTATTAAGAAAATGGTAGGTTCTAAAGTAATGCCTTTCCCCTTCATAATCATGTCAGAAATGAAAAGTTTTCAGTAGGATTTGGACAAAGAATAATGTCATATCAAAGTGGAAATTTTCACCTCAAATAAAAGTGGGTTTTTTGGGTGTTTTTTTTTGGGGGGGGGAGGGGGGTTTGTTCACTCTTTTGTGGCATTATGACTGTTTCCCATTCCTCTTCTAGCAGGCAACTGGTATGCCATACATATGTCAAAGCCCACTGATTGCTTCGGCAAGTCTATCTCTTGCTTGACAGCGAAATTATGCCCTTGAACAAAATATGTCTTTCAGTGTTATATATTCAATGTAAATGAGAAATGACTATCTTTGTATATTCTATGAATGACCACACGCTTTCTTCATTCAGAGCTCTGATGTATTGAGTCCTTGTGCTCGGCATAATGGTTGTTTATACTTTTGACTGTCTGAGATGCTTTGATGTGTACTTGTATTTTATATCTTTTCATGAGTTTGTTGTTGGTTATCTTTGTTCATGTGTGATATTTACTTCTCTGCTTTCTTTCCTGTCTTCTTTTTTGCTTTTACTGCTGGAGCTTGAAGTGGCCTATTTGTGTCTAGCAGCTTTTTAAACAAAAGGGAAAAACACCCTACTCAGCTGGATTGATTCTCTCTTCATGAGTATATACACATGTTGCTTTTATCAAAATTAGTGCTTTTTTTTTCCTGTCAGTTTTTTGTTGTTGTTTCTTTTTGTTCTTTTTTTGTAATTGAAACAAATAAGTGATTTTACATAGAAAATGTTGTTTATGATTAGTATTAACAAATATCTAATCAATATCATTTATTAAGACATTAATATTATATTTTGTAGTTTTAGCACGATATAATTTTATTTAGATTTTTTGCTAACATACAGAAAAACAATTTTTGAAGAAGTTTACTGTTGATTCCAGGAAAACTGAAATTGCCTGAACTGGAACATTATAAACTTTTTTGTTAGAAAATGGTGTTTTTTATCCATCTTTAAAAAAAAAATGACACAAGTAATTGTTTAACTGTACCCTGCAGTCTTGTATCATGCAGAGTCTGCATTAATTGAGTGAAGGCTTGTCATTTATACTTTTCAGATGATGTGTTTGCAGGGTTGTTGTTTTTTTTAAAGGACCGTATTTATGACGAATAGGGCTTTGAATTCGACCTGAAATAATAGGCACTCAAGTTGAATACATTGTTGTAATGCGGACCTGAGTCAGCTTGCAGTTAATTCAGTCAGTTTTATCATTGTCACTTACAGGTTTTATGGAAATTTCAGACTGCTATGTCTTTTTAATAGATTTTTTTCACAGCTGGTTATCTTACGAACCGGCTTCTGTCAAGTGATTATGCTCTTTGCCATTACGTGCAGAAGACATGAATTCGATTCTTGTGTGGGGAAGATTTTTATTGGGTGTCTCCATCTGTCTGCTAGGGTGCTGTATACCACTAGGCTAGGGTTGACCCTGTTAATATGGGTAGAATCTGACATCATTGTGTTGAGGAATACGTAAAAGATTTTAATTTACAATCTGTCAGAGTGTCCTTTTACATTAATGTTAGGATATTTTTAAACATAGATTATTGCTGCTTATAGATCACTGACATTTGAAACATATGCATTTGAATCATGATTTCTATTTCAAAGTCTTTTTTTTCCCTTCATCTAGTCTGGATAATACTGTAACTGTAATATGACAATGTCTTTCATGAACCTCAGTTTTGAGTGTTGCCTCTGTTTTACTGAATAATGCAGGGTATTTTTTATATTCTTAGCCTATGAGTGAGTTGACTGCACAGTTTGATTTCATAAAGTTACATAATTATTGTTCTCTTTATTGGAAATGTTCTTTTTGGGGGGTGAGGGGAGGGGGGTTCTGGATTTGCAGTGTGTTCTGAATTTCAAAATCAAGCAGGACCTCATTTTTAAAAATCATTTGTGAGAGGGGTTTTATTTCCTTTTCAATCCAGTGTCCTAACTAGGACAAGTTCTGTACTTTTGAAATCATTCATTTATTTATTTATTTTTTACTAGTAGTAGTGGAGTGATTCTGATTGATTCAACGCTCAAAACTCCAAGAATATGTTTTATTAGTTTGTGCTCAGATTTACATTAAAAAATTTTTTTAGGGGTGGGAGGTTGAGTGCTGTTTTTACTTACAATTTAATATTGCTTTTTAAATATATATAGAAATGAAGATCTATATAAAGCAAAGCTAACAATCTAAGTAATGTACGATGCTTTAAATAGGAAAGTTACACCCCAAAAAATAAGTCCAAGGAAGGAAAAGAAACATTGATTTAAAAAAAGAATCAGTGTCGGGAAATAAAGAAGAACCAAATCAAAGATTGCAAATATTATATATGCATTCTAAAAATCAAAGAAATGAGTGGGATGGAAGGTTGTTCAAATACAGGCTGCAGAAGATCAAAAGGAGATGTTTTAATGGACAAGGGGATGTTTGAAATAGATGGTCAGAATACATTGGACTGTGTAAAAAAATAACAGAGGAGAAAAACCTGAAATGAAAAAAGTTTGGTCACCAAATCTCTGTTTCAGATCTTGTACTCCATAAAACTGATGATACATAGTGTGCATCTAAGTGTGTGTGTGTGTGTGTGTGGGGGGGGGTGTGGGGGGGGTGTGGGTGTGAAGTGTATCTGAGTTAACCTTCACTACTTGAATATCAGTGGGAAAAAAAGGAGTTTTTTGTTTGTCCCTTTGTCTCCATTTTCAGCTGAAGGTGTATTTTGTAATTTTTTGTCCTCCAGATTTTTGCTCAGGTATCTACTGTTTGTGCCTGTGTTTTTGGAAATATCTTATGTTGGATTTTATCTGTTTGTTTTTTTAATTTTAATTTTTTTTTTTTTTAGGGTGGGGTACACATGTAAGTTTGCAGGGTATTGCTTTTTCTAAAGTGTTTATATATGTATTGCAGCGCAGTGAAATCAGGCTCGTCGAAAATAATGAAATCAAAGAAATCTTCACTTCTACATCTGTTGAGCAATTGTTATCAGATTTCTCTTTTTTTGTTTTGGCACAAAACCTTTCATGTCCATTTAGAATAAAATTTCTGTATGGATTTTACTGAAAAACATTGATCACAGGCACAAAAAATTTTAATTTTCAGTTTCCAAGAACATTCAAGCTTTGACAGTCACCAAACTTTGGCGACCATTTTCGGGCTTATTTTACTTCTGACTCCAGGTGACCTCCACCTCCTTCAATGGTAAATATCTCGACCACTGTTCAAGAAAGATGGCTATTTTTTTCACCAAAAGCAAGGCAAATGTTCAGTCTTTATGATTATACAATTAATGTTATGTCTGCCAGAAAACTGATGAGTGCCTAATTCCACCATGCTGTGACACTTTCTATATTTTCCATTTGCAGTCTAGGATTTTGTTCTCTGAAAAGATCTTCACAATAATTGTTGATGGTGCAGGTTTATGGTAAATAGATCTGTTGGATGACGTAATGGCTTTTTTAATATGTTAAGTGTAAGTTAATTTGGATATAATTTTGTGATATCTTCTTTCCTCATTTCTTCCTTCTATCTAGTCTAGTCACTGTAGTTTTTGCTAGCTAGACGGTATGGTTGGGTGGTTGGCGGGTGTTCTGGTGTGGTTTGCTACTTAACTTTCCTTTTCCTATCAAACATCTATCGTCTTTATCTCCACTTCTTTTTTTTTGTGTGTTTGTTACTCTCTTGTAACACCTTCAATCTTTGGGACTTATATGACCTT